GGAAACGCGGAACAGATGCGACTTTCCTTCGGATATTGCACGCGAAGTGTGGAAGAGCTAATAACATAATGATAAAAATATTCTAATATGCTGGAGAATATTTAGACGCAAAGCAAGTTTGTTGTCTCTGCTCGTGATAAATCGTTTAATAGGATGATCTGAAATAAAAATGATTATAAACTACGAATGTGTCATTATCGTTGATCTATTATGCGATCGTTAGTCTTCTATTATGTCCTATGTGATCACGTTCAATTTTCCATTAAATTGTTTTTGTCATATTGTAGATAATGTTGTAAAATTTGGTCGTATCAGTTAAATCAGGTTAAATTATCCTACCGTGTCATAAACTCCAAATAAGTTATGACAAGATAATCACATATTATTTCAGTTAATATTAACTATAATTCAATATTTGTAAATTGTTAAGTAAATTCTGGTATAACTATAATAATCGCCTTATTAGAATAGAGAAGGAGAAACTGAATTTATGCACAACTAATTACGATGGAAAATGATGATAATTTAAGTATACTCTGACATCCATATTTTTATTCTTCACTTTAAATAACACTTTAATCTACGACAAATGTTTTTACCGTATACCACCTTCCAATTTATATCTTTCACAATTTTCAGCCAAAATTGTAACAGTTGAAACGTGTGAAAATTAATCTACATAAATATTTGCACCACAATTAAATTAAGATAAATCTGAAATATATCCCGAAGACTAACATTTATAGTTGTAGACACGTAAAAGTTGCAGACTCGTCTGTCGGCATTTAATTGAACGACTCTTTCCGCGTGGCGCTCTATACCCATGAGAGAAGCACACAGCGTTGTAAAAAGCTGGCCTAAGCTCTTCTACTGTCACTGTCTATAAACTTGGATCGTCTCGATGAGTAAAATATGATCTTCAGGCGAAAGTGCTTGATCCGTCAAGATGATACCTTGCTGATATCTTAACAATTTTTTTTAAACTTTTCAACTCGCTACAGTTTTTATAAGCTCGTATAGTTCTTCTCGGGTAATCTATTTTTGTTGCAAAAGCGATATTTAGTAAATTGTTTGAAATGGTTAGAATTTCAGATATTTGAACGTTTTTTATTTAACACCTTATCCGCGGTAAATTTTTAAACGTCGAAATTAAACATCGACGTCATGGGATTATTTAGTTGAAAGCTTTTGAACGATCGTTTAAGCGTGTGCGTGTTTAAAATAGACAGTAATCCGAATGAGCTCAATAAGTTAAACACGACCACTAAAAACGACCTCTCAAATAATCTATCAGCAGCACCCTGTATTTTCGCATGTTCTAAACGCACTTCGCACCCTTTATACCGATACGTCAAACTGACCGTAACTAACGTACAACAACGGTATGGACAACAAAGCGAACTGCTGTGCTTTTAACATTTTCAGCATGACGAGTCGAAAATCATCGTCACGCTGTGCATCGTATAAGCCGATTTAAACATTAATAGTACGCAAACGCATAGAGTACTTTTAAAGAGCACTTTTGAATATTACATTTTACTTGACTTTTTACATGTGTAAGTTATTTCTTGAAATAAAATATGATTACGAAGAATTTATAATTGAAATTATCGAATAAATGAAGAAAAATTGTAAAACGAAATAATTACGAAATAAAATAATACTTCAAACGTGTCCTGGTCTGCTATAGATAGTATATCAATGCGTATCGTTAAGACAAAAGATTTCTTTACTCGTCAATACAGTCCTTTTTTTACTTTATCGAGTAGGTGCTAAAAACTGAAAGGAAGTTTCGCATTTTATTTAAAATTTTAGAGTGCAAGCTCTATTACTATGCATGTTTAAATGCACATCGGTAGAAAGATACATATAAATTCATGCAAAAAGTACTAGGTAACCTTGAAAGAAACAGAAAAAAATTGCATTCGTAGAAAAACATTTTCTTCCATTTTATTCACCCTTTGAAATAATCCAAATTACGTAAATTTAAATAAAATAATTTTCCTACCACTATAGCCAGAGAAGATAATTAGGTGGCCTGTTTCACGTGACCCACCCTGTACGTACATACAAACGGCAAAACGACAAACTAAAGTCTAACTTGGGCTGAACTAAAAAACAACCTTTCTCCGGGATCGTGCCATAACTCGTGCTAAACGGAAGTACCAAACGTTTTCTTCCCCGTCAGACGGAACGAAAAATATGTTTCATACCTCTCTGGAAAAAAATACACGTTTCCTTACTTTCATTTAAATTCACGTTGCTATGTTTGAAGAAGAAGAAGAAAAAAATGTTCTACCAGTACAAAGCCCTCGGTCACGATCATTTTCAACATCAACACGCGTATTTAACCCGGGCAACGCACGAAGAGAGTCCCGTAAATCGGTTTGCGGTTCGTGGCGTGCTGGAAACGAGTTTGAATTCCGTGCCCGGAAAGATTCAATTACGGGGCGGGAATCTTGCGGGACTCCGCGGGCTGGAAAACTTTATACGTCGAAACGAGAGCACGTATACCGTGTCACGTACCCACGTCGCTCTATTTCCCGCTTTGTTTTTTTCACCCGAGGCCGGAAGAACGCGCGACACCTTGTTGCGCGTTCCCTTCGAAAAACTTTTCCGCGCTCGCTTCCCTTTGCCTAATTATCGAATGGAAACCGTTTGCACCCGCGAAACAAGGAACGTGCGCGCATTCCGCGGAGCGGGGGAGGAAGAACAATCGGGACGATGCGTTCCCTAGGAAGCGTATCCTGCCGGGGAAAAATTTCAGGGTTATGATTGCGGACGAACGAATTGGATTAAGCAGCGCAGCGAAGAAAGTAAATTGGAAGATAAAACGAAGTGTATCGAAGTTTTTGCAATTTCATTTATTCTTCAGGCGTCGTCGTTGGAGATGTGAAGTAACTTTTTTCTCTTTTTCATTTTTATTAATGTTCTTACTGCTCGGTTTTAATTCAGTAAGTGGAAATAGAAGTGCAACGAGTTCGAAGAAGTTATTGAAAAATTAGAAGAAATGGAAGCTGGCGGGGAGATGATCGCAGAAGCTGCAACTGTGATAGGTTGTTTAATTAAAAGAATTGTCAATTGCCTGGTTTCGTCAGTGTGAATTAGTTAGAGTTAAGGGAAATTCTTTATTGACGATGTTTCATATTATCGAGGAGTAAAATTGTCTGTTTTAAAGGACAGAGAAAGTACAATTAAAATTGTATAATTAAGTCTCGTAGATGTGGAATTTTATATTTTTTAAATAAATTACATGATTTACGAGGAATATAGGACAAATCCTTCTGTAGCTGAAGTACCTTTAATAACTTGTAGATAAAAGAATCTAAGCTTGAAAGATCGACAAGAATCTAAGCTTGAGTCTGCTTCTTTGAAAGAATGAAATGGAACGTAATAATCTACTTAACGACGACGAACCTCGCAGAGCAGGAAGGTAAAAGATGGAATTGAGACTTTACTTTTTTCTTCAACTTTTCAGCCAGTTTACTTTCATACTTATACTAAGCTGCACGTCACAGTAACCGGGAAAAAATTATACGTTTATTTTACATCTGCAGTATTAATAAAAGAACACAAATACACATCGTGTTGTACACTGCCATTCGTATGTATTAGGACATCCGTTATGTTCGTCTAGTTAACGAGTTAAATTACATTTCCTTGCCAAAATTAGTGTCATAAATCAGTGAAAATGTAGTCGTTATACCTCAAGATTCTAGAATGAATTTTTTTTTTAGGATCTTAATCATTTTGTAACGACTTTTTTGTGTCAAGTTATTTTATATTAAAATTGTAATGACAATGAAGCTTATTTCAGATTCGGTAAGTAGATTTCAGTACATTTCGCATTCGGTAAGTGTCCTAGTACTTAAGAACGGGAGTGTACGTGAATTACAAATTGTATACTATGTGAAATTACCCAGTGAAGCAATAATTTTGATAATTTTAACAATTTTTCTAATATACCTACCATGCAGAA